TATATGGACGTCTTTTCTGTAAAATTCTTTGCCTGGTTCCATCCTCACTAGTGAAAAATAAATACTTTTTAACAAAAAACAAAACAAATGTATGGTTAATCTTTTGATCTTTTATCTAGAAAATAATCAGCATTATCAGGATTCTAACAAATAAACCAACAGTGGTGGTTTTCACCTAGAGATATTATTCTGAATGCCAAATTAAAGGTATAGCCTGAAAATTCTATTTTTTTCACTCTTTGTACCTATTATAATATTCAGGGTTACTAAACTATAGCCATGCTCTTATAGTGTTCTCAATATTGTGAAAATGTATTATAGAAATGTCTGAAAAAGTCAAGTTCTTTCCTAAAAGTATTAAGCTTTTTTTTTTTTCTTTTCTGCATCTAAGTTGACAATACAGTTGTCCCTTGGTATCTGGGGAGGACTGGTTCTAGGGCTCCCACAGATACCAAAACCTACGTTTTGTATGCATGTTCCTCACATAAAATGGCATAGTGTTTGCATATAATCTAGATACATACTACTTTAGGTCATTTCTAGATTATTTATAACACCTAATACAATGTAAATTCTATATAAATCGTTGTTATACTATGTTTTAAAATTTGTATTTTTTTTTTTTTACTGTTATATTGGGTTTTTCTCTCCCCAAATATTTGTCATCTGTGGTTGGTTAAATCTGCAGATGTTGAACCTGGGGATATGGAGAACTGACTCAATAATAATTTGCATTTATTCCTTAGAAATGAATGTGAAATTTCTTTAATTATCTGCCAATATTTCTCATGTAATTAATATGATGGTTATCCCTAGGACAAAACATTTACATAATCACCACTCTTATTTCTTACCCAGTTGTTTTCATGTTGAAGTAACTTCATCATCTGAAACTGCAAATTTCCCTTGCCAGCCAGCAATTATTTTTGCCTAATACATAGGCGAGACTGCTGAGAGGAGAAAGTATTCACTTTCATGTAGTAACAGAATAAACACTATAATACTGTAGAATAAAATTGATAGTTGTTCTGTCCTATTATAGTTTTTTTTTTTTTTTTTAATTTGGAGACAGGGTCTCACTGTGTTGCCCAGGCTGGAGTGCAGTAGCATGATCTTGGCTCACTGCAATCTCTGCCTCCTGGGCTCAAGTGACTCTCCTGCCTCAGCCTCCCGATAGCTGTGATTACAGGCATGTACTACCATGCCCATCTAATGTATTTTTAGTAGAGACGGGGTTTCACTACGTTAGCCAGGCTGATCTCGAATTCCTGATCTCAAGTGATCTGGCCGCCTCAGCCTCCCAAAGTGCTGGGATTACAGGTGTGAGCCATTGCACCTGGCCTTCAAGCATCATTTTAAACAGCTTTGGCTTAGAGAAAGTTATGCTGTCAGGTTTAAAAAAAGAAAAAGAAATACAAAGGCTTTGTCAGTGTTGTATTTTGTAATTAATTTCCTGCCCACCAGTTATAAACATTATCTTTAGCTGGAAAACATTCTGTTAGAGAAGTCCTGGATGTGAAAGAATAAATAAATGGATCCAAAATGTAGTCATAGTGCGTACTGCTCCGCTGGTCAGATATGTGATTATCTCTACCTTCTGGAGCACAGGCATGAACTTAGAAATAATTAGCAAAGAGCCTGGGCATGAAATCGAAGCATTTTATAAACCTCTGAAGTATGAAGCCTTCTTAACAGGCAAGACATAAAGCTAAATTTGGAACTGAGAGTTTGGGAGTGAGGAGGTGGTTCTTGCTCGTGTTTTGTGTGAGTAAGAGCGAGTGAGTGTGTGTGTGTAGGCAGGGGACTCTGATTCTTGTCAGTGACTTCCTCAGACCCCTCTGCCCTTCCTCCTCCCCTGGCTGCTGCTGCTGCAGTGGCTGCTCCCTGGGCTGTAGGAAATGAGTGATCATGATGACATCGAGGTAGAGAGTGACAAGAAATAACCGAGATTTCAATCTGCAGCTGACAAACTGCAGAGCCTATCATAATGCACTGGAATGAAATCATAGGGACCATATCAAAGACAGCTTTCAGTTTGTGCGACTCAGCCCCATCACTCTAAGGAAAGAAGGCATCCTGGGCCTAAATCCTAGACAAAGCCACAGAATACATCTAGCATATGCAAAGGGAAAACCACACGCCAGTGAGATATTGATGACCTCAGCGTCAGAATGCTCTTCTGAAGAAGCAAGTCCATGCACCGAAGGGGAGGTCAAGTGCCCGGCTGCAAGTCAACTGTCCCTCCTCAGACAGCATCCTCTACAGCAGGTGTCCCCAAACTACGGCCCGCGGGCCGCATGCGGCTCCCTGAGGCCATTTATCTGGCCCCCGCCGCACTTCAGGAAGGGGCACCTCTTTCATTGGTGGTCAGTGAGAGGAGCACAGTATGTGGCAGCCCTCCAACGGTCTGAGGGACAGTGAACTGGCCCCCTGTGTAAAAAGTTTGGGGACGCCTGCCAGCAATGCCAAGGGCAGCACGGCCTCTGCCTTTGATAGGGGCTCTGACTCCAGTTTAGAGTTGAAGCCTGAAGAGGCCTGAAGTAGGAAGAAACCTCAGATGGAAGCCAGCTGAGTTCCTCGCGGCAGGCCAGCAGTAAACACTGCCTCTATCATCCTCCTTTCCGTGTCCTCAGAACCATTTCAGAGACGATTATTCTCTTTCTCCCTTAAAAATTAAAAAAAAAAAAAAAAAAAATTTATGTAAAAGCTCTTGGGGCCTGGTGCAGTGGCTCACACCTAATCCCAGCACTTTGGAAGCCTGAGGCGGGCAGATCACTTGAAGTCAGGAGTTCGAGCCCGGCCCGGCCAACATAATGAAACCCTGTCTCTACTAAAATTACAAAAATTAGCCTGGCCTCAATACCATTCAGGACATAGGCATAGGCAAGGCCTTCATGACTAAAACACCAAAAGCATTGGCAACAAAAGCCAAAATAGATAAATGGGATCTAATTAAACTTAAGAGCTTCTGCACAGCAAAAGAAACAATCATTAGAGTGAACCAGCAACCTAACAGAATGGGAAAAAATTTTTGCAAATCTACCCATTTAACAAAGGGCTAATATCCAGAATCTACAGAGAACTAAAGGAGATTTACAAGAAATAAACCCATTCAAAAGTGGGTGAAGGATATGAACAGACACTTTTCAAAAGAAGACATTTATGAAGCCAGCAGACATGAAAAAATGCTCATCACTGGTCATTAGAGAAATGCAAATCAAAACCACATTGAGATACGATTTCATACCAGTTAGAATGGTGATCATTAAAAAATCTGGAGACAACAGATGCTGGAGAGGTTGTGGAGAAATAGGAACATTGTTACACTGTTGGTGGGAGTGTAAATTAGTTCAGCCATTGTGAAAGACAGTGTGGTGATTCCTCAAGGATCTAGAAATAGAAATTCCATTTGACCCAGCAATCCCATTACTGGGTATGTACCCAAAATATTATAAATCATTCTATTATAAACACACATGCACATGTATGTTCATTGCGGCACTGTTTACAATAGCAAAGACCTGGAAACAACCCAAACACCCAATGATGATAGACTGGGCAAAAATAATGTGGTGCGTATATGCCATGGAATACTGTGCAGCCATAAAAAAGGATGAGTTCGTGTCCTCTGTAGGAACATGGATGAATCTGGAAACCATCATTCTCGGCAAACTGACACAAGAACAGAAAACCAAACACCGCATGTTCTCACTCATAGGTTGGTGTTGAACAATGAGAACACATGGATACAGGGAGGTGAACATCACACACTGGTGTCTGTTGGGGGCTAGGGGGCTAGGGGAGGGACAGTGGGGGGTGAGGTTGGGGAGGGATTACATTGGGAGAAATGCCTGATGTAGGTGATGGGGGTATGGAGGCAGCAAACCACGATGGCACCTGTGTATCTATGCAACAGTCCTGCAAGATCTGCACATGTAGCCCAGAACTTAAAGTAGAATGAAAAAAAAAATTAGCTGGCCTGGTGGCGCACCTCTGTAATCCTGGCTACTCGGAAGGCTGAGGCAGGATAATTGCTTGAGCCCAGGATGTGGAAGTTGCGGTGAGCCAAGATAGCACCACTGCACTCCAGCCTGGATGACAGAGCAAGACTCTGTGCCCCTCCCCTCACCCCCCCAAGAAAGCTGTTGTCCTTTTTCCCCCATTTCCAATATGACTTTTTTTTTTTTTTTAAACGTATTTCCTTCAGGGATTCCCTGTCCCCACCAGGATTTTTTGGACCAACACACCCTAACTCGGTGGCAGCTTTTTCTGTGGAGGACAGATGGCCAGCTGCACCTCTGAGCCCAGTATCCTGCTCACTCCACCAGCTCCTCCAGCCCTGCCAGGCACAACCTGGGGGACACCTGCCCCACACAGGCTGCCTCCTGGTCCACGCTTGCTCGCCTCCATGGAATAGATTCTGAGAATCTGTGAACCGCTCTACTTTAAGAAGATGACTCGTTCGGAGTAATCAAGATTTACACTTTCTCCTTTTTAAGGACTTCTAAATCTTTTTCTAAAAAGCTATTTATCGTTCCAGTTGAGTGACCAGATTCTTAAAAGAAGTTTGTTGTGGCCGGGCGCGGTGGCTCAAGCCTGTAATCCCAGCACTTTGGGAGGCCGAGGCGGGTGGATCACAAGGTCAAGAGATCGAGACCATCCTGGTCAACATGGTGAAACCCCGTCTCTACTAAAAATACAAAAAATGAGCTGGGCATGGTGGCTCGTGCCTGTAATCCCAGCTACTCAGGAGGCTGAGGCAGGAGAATTGCCTGAACCCAGGAGGCGGAGGTTGCGGTGAGCCGAGATCGCGCCATTGCACTCCAGCCTGGGTAACAAGAGCGAAACTCCGTCTCACAAAAAAAAAAAAAAAAAAAAAAAAAAGAAGTTTGTTGTGTAAAAAGAAACTGGATGTATTTGCAGCACAGAGCCTTTGGCGTGTTTCACTCCTGCTTCTCAGCCTTGTTTAAGCCTGCGGTGCCAGCATTACGGAGGGCCACATGACACTTGTGGCATGTCCTGGAGATGTCAGCAGTGAAGTGGCAGCCACCAGGGAGTGGTCCTTTGGAGTTGGGCAGGGAGGGCAATATTGGGTAGTGTAGAGATTTTGTACTGAGGTACAATATGATGTTCTGATATTTATTTCCTGCTACTGAAATTTGAATCTGAGTGAATGTCCCAATTTCTTGACAATACCAGTATTGCAAAATGACAGATTCATAAAGTAATGATCAAATCTTCCTTTCTGTGTGTTTATGTCTAAGAAATAGAGCGAACTGATTTTGTATGTAAATACCAAGAGTGATTTACCTGGTGCTAAACCCATATCCCAGTGTAGGCCTTTCCCTGCCCAACCTACTTCCCTTCCTGTGGCCCTGGTACCTGCCTTGGTTGTGTGATCCAGCCCTGGTTCTGGCTGTGGTCAGCAGATCCCAGTGAAGGGTTTTGTGTGTTTAGTCCTCATTTGCCTTTTTCCTGCTCCGTTCCTGGCATTTGCTAATTTCTAGTGTATATTCTGTAGTCGCTGTCCAGGTTTGCTTCCATTTCATAGAAATAAAAAGTATGTAGTCACTGTCTGGGTTTGATTCCATTCCATAGAAATAAAAAGTATGTTGTACATGGCGTTGCAAGAATTTGTCTTGCAAATTAAGGTTTTCTTCCATTACTATAAGACTATAGTCTTGGCTGGGTGCGGTGGCTCACACCTGTAATCCCAGCACTTTGGGAGAACGATGGGGGCAGATCACGAGGTCAAGAGATCGAGATCATCCTGGCCAACATGGTGAAACCCCATCCTTACTAAAAATACAGTTAGCTAGGCGTGGTGGCATGTGCCTATAGTCCCTTCTCTGGAGGCTGAGGCAGGAGAATTGCTGGAACCCAGGAGGTGGAGGTTGCAGTGAGCTGAGATTGTACCACTGCACTCCAGCCTCGCTACAGAGTGAGATTCTGTCCAAAAAAAAAAAAAAAAAAAAAAAAAAAAAAAAAAAAAAAAAAAAAAAAAAAAAGACTAGTCTAATACTCTTTATTTCTTTAAAAAAATTTTTAGATTACGTTTCATATTGTTTTCTCATAATTTCCTCCCAAATTACCACTGACTGTGGATCAGAATTTGGGGCAGTGGAGAAGTGTGTGGGAGGGAGTGGCCGGCAGGCCTGCAGCTGCATCGTGCTGCTGAGCTGAAATGTGTGTGTGACAGCGGGGAGAGGCTAACATTCGGCCTGACACGTGCATTCTGTTACCTGGGGCGTGGAGAGAGGGAGCCAGGTGCAGCACGCAGGCTTCAGCGAAGCAAGCAAAGAGGATAAAACCAGGTGTTGGAAGGTTTGTTTTTAAAAGCTTTACTAAATAAATGTAGGATTTAAATTTGTCATTTTTACTGAATGAATCAGTTTGGTGGGGTTGGAAAATCGAAAAGGTACATACTCTTCTTAGTCGTTACTACTGTAGTCTTGTTCAGTTGGTAATACAGAACTTCTATGTCTGAACTTTGAACTATGACAGTGTTAATATACAACACAGCCTTTTCTAAATTGTCTAGTGTTTTCCCAACTTATTTATTATTTTTTGAGACGAAGTCTCGCTCTGTCACCCAGACTGGAGTGCAGCGGCACAATCTGAGATCACTGCAACCTCCGCCTCTTGGGTTCAAGCGATTCTCCTGCCTCAGCCTCCCAAGGGCCAAACTGATGAGGTCTGTCAAACGTAACTTTCACTTGTTTTTAGTCACCTGCTTTTCGCAGAGCTAAACAATGTATATCTAAGCTCCCACTAGCTTCCTATGGATAACATCTCTTGACATCTAGGTTGCTTGATAAAGGCTTCCTAAGTTGTTTTTTCAGGAAGTTGGGGTCAGCTCCTGTCCAGTTTAAACCAGCTGGCACCATCAACCCCTCAACTGGGCCTGCATGAAAGCCTGATGGACAAGGTTTTTGGCCTTCTGACATCAGAGGGCCGCCATCCGAGCTTCTTAAACACGCAGCCTCTACCTTAGGTCCTCAACGCTGGTTACACAGCACACCTGCGGAGCTTTGAGAGCTACAAGCCTCTTTTCCTCCCCGCAAAGTCCCGCTGGGCATAGGTGGAGGATGCTGCAAAAGATCCCACGATTCAGCTGCGATGAGACCCGTTGCCCACGCGCTCCTTCTAGGCCAGGGAGTCCTAAGCTGGGCGGTATATCACAATCGTCCGCGTGCTGGGAGTAATACAGACTCCTGGGCCCCAGCCCAGGTTTACAGAGGGGGATGCTCAAGGCTGCCCAGCCAGGCTCGGGACTTGCTACTCGCTGCCCAGCGGGTTTAGGCCGTGAGGTCGACGCGCTCCGCCAGGGAACTTCCGGGCGCTGCGACGCTGAGTCGCTTCCGGGCGCGGCTGGACCAGGGGAACGGGGCGGGGCGTGACCCGGAAGTCGACGGGGGGTTCCGCCCCCGCGCATGGGGAGGCAGGCTCGGACCGGCCCGCGGAGCTGCAGCCGCCCTTCGCACCCTCTTCGCCCTCCCCACCGACATCATGCTTCAGTTCCTGGTGAGTGGAGCTGCCGAAGAGCGTGGCACGCTATCCGGGGCGAGCCACCTGGGGCGCGCCTCCCTTCTTCCTCCTCGAAGGCTGCCGACCCCGCTGACCCGGCCTGGCTCAGGGCCGGGCTTGGCGTGGATCCCGCGGGCCTTTCAGCCCCTGCGCCTGGTCGTCGCCACTTTGGGCGGCCGTTTTCTTCCTGCCTCCCCAGAAAATCCCTTTGCCAGTGTTTTTCAGCAGCCGTCGAAATCCCTAAAACTTGTAGGTGTCAGAGAGTGTGCGTTTCCAGAGCTACTTATTGTGTGCCGCGCCCCGCGCTGGTTGTGTAATCCTTGCGTTAAAGCTTGTGTGGTCCTTGATGACTTCCCGTAGTCCGCCCCGCTTTCTTTCTGCGCTCCTGTTCCATTACATAGTCGCAGGCGGGTCTCCGATGTAGAGCCCTGCTAGTTGGCCTCTCTGAGGAGGTAGGAGGGCCAGAAATAAACCGTGTATTAGCCACCTCACGAAGTCCGAGAGGCTAAGTCCTCATCAGACCCTTCAGACGTGGAGGAGCGAGTTGGACACGGATACAAGTAGTTTTTCCCCAAATGAGTAAGCATGAGTAAGATTATTTCTTCTGGCTCCTTGAGTTAAAAACTAGTTTTCAGGCGAAACTCGGTATATTTCAAAGACTGCCTGGTGAAGATTGCAGGAGAACTTGCTCACCAAATTTTCAAGTGACAGTTTTTTTTGCCAAGCTATTGTGCATTGAAAACTTGATGCTTTCAACCTCTAATTCTTATAAGACGCAGATATTCAGATGTTCAATAGCGATCTGGTGCTCTGGGAATGAGATGCTTTTCCAAATGCTGTATTTTTTTTGAGACGGAACCTTGCTCTGTTGCCCAGGCTGGAGTGATGGGGTGATCTCTCTGACTACAACCTCTGCGTCCTGGGTTCAAGCGATTCTCCTGCCTCAGCCTCTTGCGTAGCTGGGACTACAGCTTGAGCCACCACACCTGGCTAATTTTTGTATTTTTAGTAGAGACGGGGTTTCACCGTGTTGGCCAGGCTGGTGTCAAACTCCTAACCTCAAATGATCCACTTTCCTTGGCCTCCCAAAGTGCTGGGCTTTCAGTCGTGAGCCATCACGCCCAAATGCTGTATCTTTATCAAAGAGATTAAAACACAAAACACGCCCCTTCTGTCCTTTTGTGAAAGTTGGTAATGGATTGTTATCCAATTAGTCAAAAGAGTATCCTTAATCTGCCCAGCTAAGATAGGGCTGCTCCTTTGCCTCTAGGAGTTTCTCTAGTGTCCTAACTAGGTGTTAGTTTAGGAGTTTATACTGGTGACAGTCATTTTCTTGTAGTAAACACTAGATTAAAAGCGGTATCACTTAGCTCCAGAGTGTAATTGAGCTGCCTACTGTATCTGCTGCTCATTGATAAACTGAGAGGACATGGTTCAATTACAATTAACTTTCTAAGCGGTTTTGCAGAATGAGTTTATTTGGTTTTGCTACAAACTTTTACTGTGTGTTAATTTTTTTTTTTTTAAGGCAGGATTTCTCTTTGTCGCTCAGGCTGGAGTGCAGCGGCACAGTCATGGCTCACTGCAGCCTCTAATTCCTGGCCTCAGGCAATCTTCCTACGTTAGCCTCATGAGTAGCTAGGACTACAGGCCCGCACCACCACCCCCGGCTAATTTTTAAAAATTTTTTTTATAGAGGCAGGTGTCGTCTAGGCCTCGCAAAGCATTGGGATTACAGGCATGAGCCACTGTGCCTGGTCAGATTCTGATCTGAGAATTCAGAATTCTCAGCATTTATGGAGAGATGCTAAAGTCATCCATTACATTCCTAACTCAGAAGTAACTGGAACACGGATTTCTTTCACTCTCTGGTCTCCCACCTTTTTGCTTTTTTTGAGAGAAGTGGTTAGCATTACTTTTCACATTGATTTCATCTCTGTTAAATGAGTCACTGACTCTGAAGTTGAGCAGGTATTTCTCTGCGTTCAGTCATTTCATCTATAAAACAATGACCATCGTGTTCTAGTATTTAAGAGGCTAGACTTCAGAGTCAGACTTCTCAGTTTGAACCCATCATTTTCAAGCTGTTACCACAGCGTGGGTGGGCTATTGACATTTTCTGCGCTTCCCTTTCCACATCTGAAAATGCAAATCCACCTCATCGTTTTGTGGTGAGGATTAAAAATGAGTTAACACATTAAAGAGCTTAAAAACGGGGGCAGTCAACAAGGATTCAGATAGTGTTCAGTTTTCCTTTCGCAGGGTGTTCTTCAAACCCTGATTTGGTTTCTTCTCAGAGTGGGGATTAGCTTCTCTCAGAAAGACAGGTGATAGGAAAGGTTTGGAAGTGATGTAACAGCCACAAGTGAAGTATGTGCAGTCATCTCACCTTCTGGAACCCTCTCAGGTGTTTTTCCTACAGCTGGCATTTGTGGAGCAGTCTGGAAACCACTGCACTTGCTTGTGTTTCTGATATCTTTCTTCCATTGTTCATATTCCTTCTTGGATTAAAATAGGCGCCCATTGTCCCTCTCTTGAAGAGACCTCGTTTCTGTGATTTCCCCCTTTTACTGCAGTTTTCCTTCTTTATTTAAAAAAAATTTTAATAGTAGAGATAGAGTCTCACTGTATTGCCTAGGCTGGTCTTGAACTCCTGGCTGAAGCAATTCTCCCACCTCAGCCTCCCAAAATATTGGGAATATGGGCTTGAGCCACCCACCGATCCTAGCTTTTTTTTTTTTTTTTTTTGAGACAGAGTTTCACTCTTGTTGCCCAGGCTGGAGTGCAATGACACTATCTCGGCTCACCACAACCTCCGCCTCCCAGGTTCAAGTGATTCTCCTGGCTCAGCCTCCTGAGTAGCTGGGATTACAGGCATGTGCCATCACGCCTGGATAATTTTGTATTTTTGGTAGAGGCAGGGTTTCTCTATGTTGGTCAGGCTGGTGTCGAACTCCTGACCTCAGGAGCCACCGCACCCAGCTAACGTTTTTTTTTTTTTTTTTTTTGAGACGGAGTTTCGCTCTTGTTACCCATGCTGAAGTGCAATGGCGCTATCTTGGCTTACCACAACCTCCGCCTCCTGGGTTCAGGCAATTCTCCTGCCTCAGCCTCCTGAGTAGCTGGGATTACAGGCATGTGCCATCACGCCTGGATAATTTTGTATTTTTGGTAGAGGCAGGGTTTCTCTATGTTGGTCAGGCTGGTGTCGAACTCCCGACTTCAGGTGATCCACCTGCCACAGCCTCCCAAAGTGCTGGGATTACAGGTGTGAGCCACCGCACCCAGCCAACGTGTTTTTTTGAGACGGAGTTTCGCTCTTGTTACCCATGCTGGAGTGCAATGGCGCGATCTCGGCTTACCACAACCTCCGCCTCCTGGGTTCAGGCAATTCTCCTGCCTCAGCCTCCTGAATAGCTGGGATTACAGGCACGCGCCACCATGCCCAGCTAATTTTTTGTATTTTTAGTAGAGACGAGGTTTCACCATATTGACCAGGGTGGTCTCGATCTCTTGACCTCATGATCCACCCGCCTTGGCCTCCCAAAGTGCTGGGATTACAGGCTTGAGCCACCGCGCCCGGCAGAACTTTTTTTTTCTTTCTAATGGAATGCTTCAGGAATTTTCGTGTCATCTTTGCAGAGGGGCCGTGCTAATGTCTGTATCATTCCAGTTTTAGCGTATGTGCTGTCAAAGTGAGCACCCCCCTTTCTTTTACCGCAGTAAAAGACGACTCTTTGCAGATAGTTACCAACACTACCTGAGGAAAGCTACTACTTCCCCTTAATTGTAAGGTTTAGTTAGAGTTATTTTAAGGATGCTTTTAGAGGGAAGCTAACATGATGACATTGCTGGGTGCTTTGTGCACATTGCCTATGATGCTGTTATTGTAATCTGTTGCTTTTTTTGTTTGTTTATTTTGAGACAGAATCTCACTCTGTCATCCAGGCTGGGAGTGCAGTTGCACCATCTTGGCTCACTGCAACCTCTGCCTCCTGGGCTCAAGCCATTCTCCTGCCTCAGCCTCCTGAGTAGCTGGGATTACAGGAGTGTGTCACCAGACCTAGCTAATTTTTATATTTTTAGTAGAGATGGGGTTTCACCGTGTTGGCCAGGCTGGTCTTGAACTCCTGACTTCAGGTGATCTGCCTGCCTCGGCTTCCCAAAGTGCTGGGATTATAGGTGTGAGCCACCATGCCCAGCTATCTGTTGCTTTCCTTACCTCTTGAAGCCTGAAGCACTCAGTGCTCTTAAATCACTTTGTCTTTAACCTCTCCATGGCCTTTACGACTCTATATCTCAGTACTCTGGGCCTCAAGTGATTCTCCTGTCTTGGTCTCCCAAAGTGGTGGAATTTCAGGCGTGAGCCACTGCACCCAGCTTATAATTACTTTTACAAAGGAACGTAGATAGAGGAAAGTGAGCTCTGGCTGCTCCAAGGGCTGAGGGGATCATATCTGGGTGTACCAGCTGAGAAGCTGCTCTATCTCATCTCTCCTGTTTTTACTGGCTGCTTCTCCCTGCTCTTGGTTACTGTATATTGTTCAAGGCTCAGTCCTTGACCCTCTGCTCTTCTTTCTAAAATCCCCTTAAGGAGTGTGGTCCTTGTCATGCCATTACCTTTTACCCCTTTGCAGACAGCTACCAACACTACCTGAGTCCTTTTCTCTGAGTTCCAGTTTCATGGCATCAGCTGCCAGCTGAATATTTTTGTCTTATCCTGGACTCATCACCTCTTCCCTCTCTTCCCCTCTTCCCCCATTCCCGACCTTACCTACCTTCTTTGTTCCCCTCACCTAAGTCTCTCAAATTTGAAATGTTGACATAATCTTTAATTTTTTTCTCTCCTTTATTTCCCGTATTATTTACCTGTCATGTGCCAGGAACATATTTTACCTACTATGTAATCTTGAAAAATTTCTTAACTGCTCTGTGCCTCAGTTTCCTGAACATAAATTAGGCAATAATAGTACCTGTCTTACAACATTGGGAAGAAC